GAGACAGTTTTTCAACAACAAATTGTTAATTTTTTAACAAAAATTTTTCCATCGATTTCATATTATTGCTGTGATGAGGTGAGGAATGAAAGAGATTATACAGGTACCTGTTAAGATAGTTTTTGTTTTAAATAAAAATATATGGCGTTACATTATCAGTTTTCGACAACTTGAATATTAATTAATAGGTGATATAGTTCTACCAAAATAATCTAAATTCTAAAAAAATTTGGTCATTAGATCATTAGATTTTCAAAGCTCAGTTTCTTGAAAAAAAATATAACTGCAAATTTATCATTATTATAAATTATCATATAACTGCAATTTATCAAATTGAGTTTTTCAATAATTTATTGTTCTTCCTGTTGCTACCTCTCATAATTAATTCTGAGTAATTTCATAAAATTGTCGTATAAAACTGTATAACAAAAACAAACACAGCTGAATAAAAGTTAATTTTTCGAATAAAAATTTTATTAAAAATTAAGGGCGAGGTTTTTAAATATTAAAATGGATTATTAGTGTATAATATCGAATTCATATAATTTTTCCAAGAAATATACAAAATTTAGAGCCTAATATTGTGTATCTCGGTATTTTACTCACCAAGTGAGAAGAAAGTGAGTAACTGGCATATATTTGTATAATGTAATTTTCGAATTAGAAAAATTATTCCGTATCCCCCACCTTTTCCGTAATTTTTTTCCAAAATTTATACAAAATTTATTCACTTTATTTTTGAAGGTGAAACATTCAGTCGATAATTTGAGAAAAAATGCAAAACTCCAATTGAAAAGAAGTTAGTAATCTTATTGGAAAAATGTAATATCCATTAGAAAAACTGAACCTGAATTCTGAATCACAAGAAAAATTGGTATAACAATAATCTAAAATCCCATATATTACGATTTGGATAATCTTATTGGAAAAATAACATTCTTCAATTTAGTTGTCAAATTAAAAACCGAACAGAACTATGGTCTGTTTATTAATTTAATGGATTGATTGTACAATACTCGTATAAATATTTCTAGCGTATTTGTATGAAGGAAATTTATCATAAAGCATTTGTTTTTTATATTGATTTACGAATTTAATAAAAATAAATTTCCTCATAACTATTATTACTAAGAAGGCGAAAACTAAAAATTTTTTTATCTTCATATTTGTATTAACAATTTCTTGTACATGTGTATTTATAAATTAATATACTTGGCTTATTGATTATCTCTTATAATTTATAATAAACTCAATACAAATATTTATATATAATATACAAACGTACATACATACGTATTTCTATTAATTTCAATGGAAGAGTATCTTCTAGTATAAAAATATGTTTTTATATGTACACATTTTAAAGTTATGTATGGTTATGTTGTATATACAGTAAATTAAAAGAAAAAGTTATAAACATAACAGAAATTTAATATAATATATAATAAGAATAAGAAAAATTTATAAATGTATGTATGTAAATATTTATATATATGCGTATATGAATAAATTGGAGAGTGTTGTGTTGTATGTAAAATAAAAGCGAAAACACTCTCATTAAAAGAAAACAGATGAAAACACCGGCTGCAAAGAAAAATACAAGTAAATTTTAGGTATTTAATATACAATATAATGTATATATGATATAATAGATATCCCTACATACTATATATTTTATATCAAAAAAAATTCTCTTTTATTTTAACATAAATATATACTTACATACTTTTATAAATAAACCAGCATTATTGTATTTATATTTTATATAGAGAAATATTTCCAAAAATTTAATATATGGATGTGTGTTTAGTATAATTTTGTGTGTTTAGTATAATGGTAAATACGTTATATATGTATAAGTGTAAAAATATATACATATATTTATATATATAAAGTTGTAAATATTAAAAAGTAAAGTTATTCCCGTTTCATTTTCAGTCGCTATATTATAGCGGATCCGTACGGAATAATTAAAAAAATAAATTATATTTAAAAAAATTAATTGTGTATGAAAATAATTTGAAAAAAAAATTATTATAAAATTATTTAAAAGATAATAAAAGCGAAAATATTTTCTTAAAAACGGTGAATTTATAATTTACTTTTTTTTTTGCTTGACATATACATACTTACATATATGTACCAAACATATGTAAACTTGGAATTGTGTATAAAATTAATTAAAATAATTTAATTTCGTGCATTTATAATCATAAAAATAATAATTATATAGAATTTTATATACAGATTATACACTTAAATTAATTTACATGTATACAATATAATATAGTATTATATTTTTATACTTTGACATACTTAATTATTAATAAATTATAATTATTTACATTTTTATATTTATAAAGTAAAATAAACAATAATAAACATATATGTATGTTTCATAAATGTTATACTATGTAGACAAAGTATAATAATATAGCAATAAATTAAATATAATTTAAATATAATAGATAAAGTATATATTTTATATATCTACATACTTACGTTCATTTGTATGTGATTTTATACATACAGTGTTATTAAATGTTATAATTGTATAATATTTTGGTTTTTGTAAATTATCAGAGGAGAAAAAATAATAAAAAAAATAAAAACACTAATTTTTTTTGTTTTTTTTTTATTTTATATATTTAGCTATATGTAGGCACATACAAACATATACAGTAAAAAAATATTAATAATTATTCTCTTGTGTTATTAAAATTTTATATTTTAGACTTTTTGATGGGTACCTATACTGAAATTTGTAATTTCAAATATTGATTCTATAAGATTTGCATTCTATCTATCATTATAATATGTACTTATTTTTATACATAATTAGATTATATGTAAATTATATGTGCATACGTGCTATGTACTTTGTTTTAATTAAGGCTAGATACCTACTCTATTTTAAGAGATTATCTAGATCACCCTGTCTATAATAATTACATGAAAAATATTTTTATACATTTTAATATGTTCATAAGGTAAATAGTAAGTGCCTGAAAAATACACTCATATGAATATAAGTACTTTATACACCATGTCAATTGTATTTAATTAAAAACAAATTTAAAAAGGTAAAAAATTATACTTACAGTCTAAATGTATTTACATATTCTGTTCTTAAACAAACCAAAATAGTATGTATATAAAAATAATATGAGTACACATATTAATAGGAGTATGAATGTATGTACTTTTAAATAAAATAATAAAATTAAATAATTAATTTAAAAATATAAATATTATGTAGTCTTACCTGAATTACGAATAGTTCTTGTGGTATTATCTAAAATACATTCACGGGGGCTGCGGTGGAAATATTGTAAATAACAAATTTTTAGAAGGTGCTTTACCACATTTAATTGTAATTATAATATTAAAAAATAATTTTTCCAATAAAATTAACGAAATAAATTAAATGTTTATAAAATTCGTGTTTAAGAAAGACTTAAAATTATAGATGAAAAAAAAAGCCAAAAATAACAAAATCATAAAGAAGATTGCAACAATTTTCTTTTATTTACAATTTTAATTTACAAAAATAAAAAAAAAATTTGAATTTACCTATAATATAAACAGTAATATGTATGAATGTACATATGTATGTATATAAATATACCATTTGAAAATATTTCAACCAGACGTGTTCTAAATAAATAAAAATAATATATTTTATTTCTTGTCATAATGTCATATGCCAAATAATTATATTAGTATATATATAAGTACATATGTACCCATTTATATTTTGCAGTAAAAAAGAGAATGATTTTTAATATTTCTATAGATATAATGAAATTCATTTATAATCATATGAAAGTATGTATGTATGTATGTAAATATAATTAAAAATATAAACATCTATATAAGTACATATATATGTTTATATAATTGTATGTATTTATTTATAAATCTTCAATTATATATTATATAAGTACCTACAATCATAAGTGTATATTTTGTGTATAAAACAAAAAACAAAATATTCATGTATTTATATGTGTATGTATGTATTTATACACAGAATCTAAGTAAGAATAAAAAAAAGAATAATAATAAAAATAAGAAAAAAAAGTTACTGTGCAATTACGCGATTATTGCGTATATGAGAAAAATCATATATAAAAATCATAATAAAAGAATAAAAAAAAAAATTGTTAAAAAAATCTGAAAATATGAAAGAAAAAAAAAGTAAATAAGCGGAAAAAAAGAAAAATAATAAAGAAAAAAGGCAAAGCATTCAAAGCAATTTCAATTTCAACAAAAAGACGACGGACGACAGCGCAAGAGAGAATATATAGGCCGGTATTCTTGTATTTTAATTTACTTTCGTTTCGGTGTTTTTCGCATATACTACAACACGCGGTTATAAAATATAAAATTTTTGATTTTTTTTATTTGTTTTTTTTTTGTGAAAAATAAAAAACAAGAGTGTTTTTTTTTTGTTTCTTCTTAAAATATTTTAATTTTTGATTTAAAATTTTTTGAAAAAAATTCATATATATTTTTTTAAATAATTATTAATTAAATAAATAAATTCAAAGTGTAAAATAATAAAACTAAACATTATTTTTCTAATATATTACATTTTAAAAACAATTTGTTGTGTTTTTAAATTTTAAATTTTGAAAATCTTATTTTGGATAAAATTTTTTAAAACATAGAATTTTTAATAGAATATTTTTTTAATATTTTCGATTTTAAATTTTTAATTTTGAATTCAATTTTTAATAATAATTTTATAATTTGCATGAATAAATAAATATTATTATTATACTTGTATAAAAGGGTAAAAGTAAATTAATAATTAAGAATAATAAAAAGTAATTTTAATAAAAAAAATTTAATAAGTGAATGAAAAGTATTTTAATTGTTATTTCATATTATTAAAAAAAAAAATAAAATTGAATAAATAAAAATTTTTAAAAGTTTAAAGAAAAAATTTTAAAAGAAAAAAAATTAATAATTATAATTAATTAAATGGAATATTTTTTTTTATCAAACTTAATTTTTTCTTTCAAATATTAAATAAAATTTATATATAATAAAAATAATTAATAATCGATTGATAAATAATTGGAAATTAAAATGTAAGTATTAAGATTTAAATTTTTTTAATATGTAATACTTAACTAAATATATAAGTATCTAATTACTAAGAGAAATTTAGAAAAAATATTTAAGAGAAATAATTAAAAAAAACTTGTAAAATTCTGATAGGCTTATAGCGGTTTTAATTTTTTTAATTATTATAAAAAATTAAATTAATTATTTACAATAAAATTAATGAAAATTATTTTAATAATTACTTGACATATCGTAACATTCATTTTGCAAATAAAACTGAAAACCATAGGAATGTCACATGATCCCAGTTGTAAACCAAAAATTTTTGATTTTTGATTTTTGATAATGCAAAGTTTACGTTTTGTAGCTGCATAAAAATTGTGTTTTAAAAAATTTTTTGTATCAGAATTTTTTTGGCATTTAAGCGATTCATAAAAGTTCCTGATGTTTTCTTATCGTATCTTTAAAATTTGAAATTCTTGATATTTATCGAATCGTTGTTTTTTTAATGATACTTCCACAGCAATTCCAGCTTTAGGTTGTTTTTTTTTTTTAAGATTTCCTAATCTCTGGAAATCTTAAATCTCTTACTCTGGACTCAATTGATTTGTTTGGACAAAATAATAGCTCTTCTTTTAAAATAGATGCTTCTATAGCATCTGAATACCTTTTAAATTCTAATTAAGTATATTTTGTAAATTGTGTATTGTAATTCGAAATAGTTAATAGTTATATAGTAGAGTTTTTGAATTGGACAAATTTTTAATTTTTTTTTCAGAAGAAAATCATTTTTTTCTGTAATAAAAAATTATTGTAGTAATTCCATATTCTCATAATGATTTAACACATTTGATTTATTGAAACCAAAGTTTGTTTATTAAATTTAAAAAGTGGAGAAGTTTTTCTATAGTTTTTTTTTTTTAATTTTTTATTTTTTATATAGATATGTGTGTTTGAAAATATTCAAGTATTAAAAAATTTAAATTTAGAAAACTATAATTAAACAAAATCGAAAAATTTCCGCAAAAATTATTAATTTTCATATATAGATTTTTGAACACGTTTTTTGCATAAAATAATTGTTGCTTTCAAAATTTAAATACTTATAAATTATTTTATTTCAATCGATTAGAACGTGATATTTCTTTTCATTTACAAAAAAAAAAAAATTCATGAGAAATATTTTATTTCTTTATAAATGTATTATTTTTATATTATAGAATATCTAGAGTATGTATTGTGGCATATGAAGGAATTACACTTGTTTTTATTTTGTAAGATATTTTGTGCTGTACAATATGAGCACTTTATAATTATGAGCGTGTTCGTACACATGAGAAAACAATATGAGAAAATTAGTGTCTAATATTTGAGTATATATATACAAACAATTAAATAAATAATTGAATGTAATTTAGTTCCAAAAAAATTGAATTTTCAAGAATTATTTATTGAAATTATTTTATAGCAATTCTGTCAGCCATCATATAGATTTTGAAATTTTTACATTAAGATTTCATGATAATGGTATTTGATGAGTTTAAATGGTGCATAACTATAATTTAAACTTCAAAATTATAACGCACAATTATAGATTTAATAATTTGCAGATTATAATTTTATAAAAATATTAATATTTTTTAAATGCACAATATATTAATCATTTAAGAGCTAAAATTAATAAAAAAACTATTATAATTTTTTATATAGTCGTTTGCAGAATTCAGCAAAAAATTGTACACCCTAAATTTTTTTTAATTGTTTATTTATTCTCAGTTTCTTGTTTATTTGGCAGTAATAGTGAAAATAATGATAAGATTTTTTTCTGTGAACATATACTTACACTTTATTTTAAATATTTATTCGATTATAAGAATTAGAATATTCCCGTATGAATATAAAAATATTCATATTTTGTACTATATTTCGAATATTTTGAACATATTCGAATGAATGTAAAATTTTGCGTGTATGTACGTATTTGAGTATGTAAATTATTTTTCTAAATTATTTTTGAATGATTTGTATATATGTATGTAAATGATAATTTCTAGAGCATTTTCTTTTGTCTATGATTGTATAATTTTTGGTACTTAGTTTTGATGTATCAAAATTATAAATTTTTGTTAATGCTTGTGAGTAGCTCTAATTTTTACGACTGTTATATATAAATAATAATCCAAAATTTCATAAATTATAATGCCATATTTACCAAATTTTTGTTAATTTTGTAAAATTTCAATTTAAGTAAATCGAATTTTGAACATAACTAAAAATTGTAATTACTTTCTTATTCTAATTATCCAAGTAAATACTTTCATTAATTTCGTTCACTAAAGGATAAGTTTTGCAAAATGTATTTTTTTTTTGTTTATGAATAAAAATTCAATTTTATGCTTAGTAATTCTTTTAAATATTTTCTGATTAAATATTTTCTGAATTTTTCCTTTTTCAAAATTAATTTGCATTTAAACACGTTCTTTTAGATTTTGTTTATTTTAATAAATTTTCTCTTTCTTTCTTATATCAATTGATTTTGTTATAATTAATGATTTTTGATTTTTTGCGCATTTAAAATACTTACTTATAGCTAATAAGATTTTTAATTTGGAAATTTTAAAATTTTTGTTTTTTCTATATCAACATGTATACTTCTAAATTCTATAAATTTTATTTTAATTGTCTAAAAAAAACTCTATTTATAAAATTTTACTATAAATTTTTCAATAAAAGTGAGGATATAAGTATGTCAATTTTATTATGATTACCTTGATTAGTTTAAGTATTTATTATAATTTATAATATAGATTTTATTTTTAAGAGTATACCTGGAGTCTATACCTACTTATTTTAAATAATTTTTTGAAATGGTTATTCCAAATTTAACCAAAAATTCCTTCTTAGGTTTAAGAACAGGGTAGTAACTTTATAAGGCGAATAGAACTTACATTTATATGCTTATGTAAGAATGTATGTTTGGGATAAAAGTACATACATATAAGTATACATATCCATAAATTTTTTACTTTATTAGTAGGTAAAAGTTTATTATTATTATTGTCTATTATTATTGCGTATTATAATCGAAGGAAATTTCCACTGAATATTAAACTAAATTATTGTTTTTATTGTTTTTCAATGCTTAATAAAAATTTTTATGCTGGTTCATGCCTCGGATTTTAAGAAATCTCAGTTTTTAACTATTCCTGTTTAAATCACTAATATGTCAGAATAATATTCCAAATTTCTTAGGAAGAATTGAATTACAAAACAAAGTAAATTTTTAAGTTCTCAAACATAATGTAAATGTTTAAATTCGCTCAAATTTAATTGTTTTGTACCTGTACAAGTACTTGAATTTAGTTACAAAAAGTAATTTATCAATTTCAATTACTTTTCAATTATTTTACCTAAAAGCGTGTTTTTTTTTGTGCGAAATAAAATTTCTTAATTACTAAAGTAAATTTTTTTAAAACTGTTTTAAAAAACGTAGATTAAAATTTTATTAATGGAAAATTAATGATGATGTCAATGTGTTAATTTTATACTTATAACAAAAATTTTTTAAGTTATTTTAGTGGTTGTAGAAAGTTAGGAGGATAGCCCAAAATTTGAAAATTTTATTTGGATAAAATCGAAAACAGAACAAAAAAAAGAGAAAAATAAAAAACCAGAATAAATTAATTTGGGTTTTTGTTTTTTTTTTTTAAATTATAAAAAGTAAAGAAAAAAAGAAGAAATTCTTCTCTTCTTATTGGGGGGAACAGGTTTTTGTTTTTACTTTTTTTTTGACAAAAAAGATACAAAGTTTTTGTTTCCTTCCTTTTCTTACAGTTTCAGTTTTTCGGTTTTTATCAAATTTTTCCCTTCTTAATTGTGTAACGTAAGATTATTTTTGTTTTTGTTGTGTGATTTTTGTCCAGAATTTTTATTTTTGTCACTTTTAATTTATGATTAATTTTTAAACAGGAATTTCAATAATATTTTCTTTTAATATAATCATTAAATACACAAAAAATTTTAATGTGAATTCATACATATATATGTGTACTAATGTAAATATCTATAACAAGCTTACTTTTTTTTAGAATAACTGCTATCATAATTGGAAAACTGTGCTTATTAATTTCAATAGTTGGTCCGTTCGTCTGTGTTTCCACCATTTCTGCAAAAATAAAAGGATTCGATTTTCTTATTGGAAATTTAAATAGATATATGTCACTGTCACAAAATTGCTGTTGTCTTTAAACTTCTGTTGAGTCTAAAATTTAAACAGATTCTAGAAATTAATCGATCATAAAATAGAATTTGCCTTTAAGTTTCTTTCCCTGCCGATATATAGCTTCACGGTATATTAGTAACTTATTATTTAAGAAGATAAACAGCTGTTTGCAGCTCTTGTCTTTGAAGCTGTTGTGTTTATCAAAAGTTTATTTTAAGTAAAAAAGTAACGATAAATTTTTTCTTATTAGAAAATATATACAGTATTTATGCATACTTTATGATTCTCCTCCTAAAAGTATGCAATAAGGCAAACTTTAATTTAGCCAAAAAAAATGTTCTTACCTATGGAACTGAATATGCTACTTTACAAATCATTGGCCTTATCCAAATTCAATTTTGTATCACTTATCATTCTTATTTAATTCTTGCTTCTAAATATATATACATGTATTTTACATATATATGTGTATATATGTAACTTATAAAATAATATCCACTTACGTAATAAAACAATTTTGAAATATTGTATTAAATTACAAAATATCAAAAAGAAAAAAACAATAATTAAAAAGAACTCTCAAATACATAGGGTCTTTAGTGCCTATTGCACGTTAACTAACAAAGTATTTTTATTTATTTATTTTTCGTTTATGATTTTAAAATTTTATGATACTTGTATTTTTATAACATATTGAAAATTAGATGAAATTTGATATACCAATTTTTTTTTATATTTAAAAATTGCCACTAAATATAAAACGTGAACTTTCTAAAGTTAAAATTTGATATCCTTAAAATA